ATATATATGTATGTATGTATAAAATTCAAAAAGGAAAAAAGGTATAGAGGACAGAAAATTTTTTTTTTTTTTGCACTGCCCCATTCTACTCCTGGTGTGTAACTGTTACCAATTTCTTGTGTATCCTTCCACAGATATTCTATGCACACAGAAACATGTGCCTGCTTATATACGTTATGTCATCTATTTTTATACATATGGTAACATAATAGTCACAGTGTTCTACACTTTACCTTGTTCACTTAATAATGTATCTTGAAGATCATTCTGTTCTTTGTAGTGGCTGCATACTATACCTTTGATGGATAATTTAGGTATCAATTTACTATCTTTTTCTGTCAATTATGTGCATTGTAGTTATGTGGATTTTGTTGTGCAGAGGTTTTAATTTTTTATTGTGATAAAATATTTGTAACATAAAATTTACCATTTTAACCAGTTTTAAGTGTACTATTTGGTACCACTGTGTACATTCACAATATTGTGCAACCATCACCACCATCCATCTCCAGAACTTTTGTTATCTTGCAAGATTGAAACTCCGAATCCATTAAACACTAACTCTCCATTCCTTCCTCCCTCAAGCCTCTGGCAACCATTATTCTACTATGAATTTGACTATTCTGGCTATTTCAAGATTTTACTTTTAATGTAAACAAAGGTATCAATTTTTCCTCTGATATATTATACATTTTTTGTCTTATCTAAGTCAAGGATGATGATGATGCCCTGGGATCCCCTCATCTGGAGGGAGCTGGGCATCCCCAGTCATGCTGTGGCTTTGTCACCCGTTAGCCCTGGATTTTCCTGGAGTGTAAAAGCCAGAGAAGAGAGGTGGGTGGAGGGTGGGTGCTGTGGTTTGAATGTTTGTCCCCTCCAAAACCTATGTTGAAATTTAGCTGCCATGGTAATAGTATTAAAGAGGTGGGACATTTAAGAGGTAATTAGGCCTTGAGGGCTGTGCCCTTATGGGTGGGATTACTGCTGTCGTAAAAGGGCAAGTTTGGCCTTTCTTGCTCTCTGTGCCCTTCTGCCATGTGATGCCTTAAGTGTGATGACACAGCAAGAAGGCCCCAACAAGATGCCAGTACCTTAACATTGGACTTCTCTGCCTCCAGAACTGTGAACCAATAAATTTCTGTTCATTATTAAGTACCCAGTCTGTGGTATTGTTACAGCAGCATAAAATGGACTAAGACAGTGGGGAGGGAGTAGATGCTCTAGACAGCAGACCCCAGGAAAGTGACTGCTAATCTAGGTAACAGCACGGCCACCATTATATTCCTGTGTGATCTCTGAGACTCCCTGACTCACCATACCAGGAGGACTCCTCAGAGTTGGTGGGATTGCCTCAGGACAGCAGGGTCCTACCCTATGGTAGGTTCAGGTGACCTTAATATCCTAGAGTCCACCCTCAGAGAAAGCTGCCTCAGTTCCACCTAGCTGGGCATGCCAAGGCTGCTGCATCAGGGCTTCTTTGTTGTTGTTTTTTCTAATTACAAAGGTAAATTGGCTCTTTTATGCAAAATTCAAATGTTACAGAAACACTGATAATGATGTGCACATTATCAGTGCACATTACAGGTGGTGTGCATTATCCACGCACACCACCTGTAGTCCCACCTCTGAAGAAAATTTCAGTTAACTGTAAGGCACATATTCCTCAATTGCTTTTCTTTTCTATTCAAACACAAACATTTGTTCCTGTATTTAACAACATATCATAGCCATCTTTCCCTATCAAAACATACAGGTAGATCTACCTCATTTAAGAAATAAGTGTGAGAATTTATTCATTTAGTGAAATGTTATTACAGAATTGGTACATGGATATAGTCTCTGTGAGTCAATATATATACGTTAAGAGGACAGTGAATTTTGTTCCCTAGCTCTTCCCACTCTCTCTCCTCTTCCCAGATGGAATAATTTCTATTCCTTTTTCTTTGCATTTACATACACACACTCTCTCTCTCTCCCTCCTCACATTTGTTTTACTTAACCATAGTCCTTGAACATCTTTCAGATCCGTACAGACCAGGTCTAGCTTACATGTTTTTACTGACTGTATACTTTTTCTGAATATGTGGTAATTCAGTGGTTCTGAAACTCATCTGGAACCTTGTTAGAACATGAGTTGCTGAGTCCCCTTCCAGGTCTCGCAAGGTTGTGGGTTGATGCAGCCTGCAGCTGTCCTTAGGTGTCACAAGTTGGGAACGAAGTCCTGTCCTCACTCCTCCTGTGTTTGTATGAACCCCTGCGCATATCTCTGAGCACTTAAGGAGAGTTTTTAGGATAAACTTCTAGGTGTGGCAATGATGAATCGAGTGAGATTAGCTGTATTAATTTTGATGGTATGGCCAAAATGAACTCCAACATTGCAGTACTCTTGCACCCCCACCAACAGTGTGTAAGTGTGCTGCCTGTCGCCTCCACAACACCCATGGCAAACACTGTATAAGGTTGTTTTTTATTCTGCCACTTTGATGTATAAGAGATACTTAATTATTTTAATTTTAATTATTTAATTATGAAAGGAGTTGAACAATGAATGCCTTCTTTTTCTGTAAATGAACTTTTCATTTTGGGATTACTTTAGATTTAATTTTGTAAAGGTAGTACAGAGAGTTCTCATAAATTTCACCAGCTTCCCTTAAAGCACAGACACGTAACTATGGTATTAATACATTTGCCCACACTAAAAAAACTTATATTAGTACATTACTATTAACTCAACTTTAGATTTTATTTCAGTTTTACCACTTTTCCCATGAATGCCCTTTTCTGTTCCAGGATCCAACATTGCATTGGCCATTATGTTTCCTTAGGGTCCTCAGTCTGTCCTCGTCTTCCATGATCTTGATAGTTTGAAGTCCTAGGTAGATATCTGCAATGTCCCTTGATTTGGGTTTGTCTGTGTTCTAATGATTAGATAGGGCTTATGGGTTTTGGGGGAAACATCACAAAGGTGAAATGCCCTTCTCACCATGCCATGTCTTATGATGTAATACACAGTATCACATGCTTCCTTAGTAAGGAAAATACCTAACATACATACAAATAGCAAGAATAGAATAAGTACTTATTACTTGGCTTTCACAATTATTAATATTTTGCCACCTTGTTTCTGGATGGCTTTTCAATATGGTTGGGAGAAATTTTTGTTATTCTTTTCTTCCTTTTCTCTTCTCTATCCTTCCTTCTTTCTTCCCTGCTTTCCTCTCTCCTTCCTTTCTTTCTAAGTCAAAAGGAGAAAACACTGATTAACAGTGTTGGAAATCCAGATGGGACGTAGATGGAAGAACATAACACATCTAATCAAATTGCTCCCTTAGTTAGCTCTGACTGCCATGACAAATATGATAAGCTGGGTGGCTTAAACATTTCTCATAGTTCTTTTCCAACCTTTCCTTCTCTTCTTCCAACACTTCGGATGGGATCACACTCTCCCTCCGTGCCCCACTGTTAGCCCCCCATATTTCTTTTGAAGCACCTGAGTTCCTTCCCCTATATCCAGTGGTGTACCAAGTTGGGGTTGGGGCGGTTGGCTGGTCTGCCCCAGGTGTGTTGTGTGGAGAATTTAAAAACAATCATGAAACCAAAATTTGATCTGCTTTTTATCATCATCATACCTAACAATTCTAAAATGATAAAATCCTCCTCCTGGAAAAAGAAAATTAAGATATAGAGTGTTTCCAGCACCACGGAGGCTTCCTCAAGGAAATATTTTAATATTTAGTATATTATTTAATCTGATCCCAACTCTTCTTTCACAGGAGAGTTGAGAAACTCAATTGTAGTCATATTTAGGGTTCTCTGGCCTTGTGGGGGTGTGGGAAGATCTGGACTGTGTGAACCCTAATATCCCCTCCTTTCTCTTGGGGCACTACTTACCTTGAGTGGCTGTTTCTAACTCCCATTTCTCAACCATCCCTAGGGAAGGTACTAAGCAATCTCCCACCTAACCTCCCTTTTGGGTTCCAGAATGCAGAAAAAGATGCTCAAAGCTGTCAGCTAATTTTCCTGAGTCATTGGCCTCATTTCACTACTATTCCCAAGGCCTGGTCAGGTGCCCAGTGGTGCTTTAAAGTCAGCCATTCTCAAAGTTGGGTCTGCAGGTCCTTCCTTTGTGAACCGTATATAACTGCATGAGGCCGGATATTGTTCATAGTATATATGTCAATCAAAGCAACATACTGCAGCAAAGGAATGCAGAATCAGATCTCAGAATCCAGCTATCTTCTATCAAGCCAGACTTTAGATTTACAAAAGCGTAAAACAACATCACTCTTTATTTGGGGGTGGGGATGATATAGCTGTTTTTAAAAATACGCAATGTGCTAATTTTTAAGTGAAAAAATACTTTTAAATATTTTAATTTACAATGTGGTAACATCTGTAACTACAACTCACATTAGCAAAAGCGTGAGGCCCTCAATCATTTTTAAGAGTATAAAGTGATCCTTAGGCTAAGAATTTGGGAACCACGGACTCAATCTGATATTCACATCAGCTCTTACGAGGTGGTGCCATTCTCTCCCCGCATACGTGAATAAACTGAGGCCTGGTAAAGGAAGGCTGTCAGCCCTCCGCCTCACCGCCAAGCAGGAGCCTCGCGTTCCAGCTGCGTCCCTCGAGGTCCTCGGGCAAAAGCGGCACTGGGGAGTCCACTCGCCTCGCCGAACCACATTTTCTCGCGTGGGAAGTGTGGGCAATGTTTTCTACCTCTCGGGACTGCGTCGGGAAACCCTGTGAGTATGCGATGAGTCACATCCCAATCTATAGAAGCGAAAGCCGAGGCTCAGAGACGCCAAGCGCTTTGTTAGGGTCCTACGCCTTAGCGTCCCGAATACAGGGCACCCCGGAGGCCCAGATGCCCCGGCTCACTACCGGGCGCCAAACAGCCGCCGGCTCCTCCCGCCAGCTTCACATCCGGCACCCATGCCGGAAGCCTCTTTTCCGGTTCCCAAAACCGCGCTCCGGAAATGAGTCATCCGCCAGCACCTAAGATGGCTGCTGACCCATCCGCTAACGCATTCAATGGATGGAAAGAAGGAGCGAACCCGGAAGTTGCCCGGCTCGGCCATGGCAGCCGCCGGGGGCGTGGCTTCCGGCGGCCCGCGTCTGCGAGTCGCGGCGGCCGGGTCTGGCGGGGCCATCGCTGACAGGCGCTCCTCCCACGACGGCCAGGGTTGGTGCCCAGCGAGACGGGCGGCCCCCAGCTCTCCTCCCCGCGTCCCGGCCCGCGAGGCTCCAGGGCCGCGCTGGGGCATGGACGAGGGGAAGATGGACGAGAATGAATGGGGGTACCACGGCGAAGGCAACAAGAGCCTGGTGGTGGCCCACGCGCAGGTGAGCGGCGGACAGGCTGCACGGGTCCGGGACCTCACCCCGACAGCGGGGGCTCCCCGTTCCTCCCAGTATCCCCCCGGGGTCGGTTCCGCGTCCCTCGCAGTACCTGCCTCCTCCTTGGTCGGTCTCTTTCCGGTACCCTCCACCAGCCCCCGAGTCGGTCCCCTATTCCCCCAGTATTCCCCTTCTCTCTCGGGTCGGTTCCCCGTTTCCCCAGTACTCCTTTTCCCCTCGGCGGGTCCCTTGTCCCTCCAGTGTCCCCTTCCCCGCTCCGTCGGTGCCACGCGCAGCCTCACGCGGTGCCCGCCCGACTGCCAGGCCGCAGTGGGGCGGAGATTTAGCCGGGACGAAGGGCTTGGGCAGCACTGGAGAAAGAAGCAAAGCGCCCACGGTGCTGTTGCTCCCAGCACGGAGGGAATTCAGCCTTATAAGACCAGGGAATTGCTGTTCTTCATGCTGCTGCTGTTAATAACGGGGCATTACCCACAGGTTCGCCCCCTCAATTTGTTAGAATTTGAAAGGTTTCCCTTTCTCAATTCAGTGAAGGTGAGAGTTTCAGGAACTGCACTAAGGACTCCCAAGGTGAATCCAGGAAGAGAAGTGTGTGGATTTGTGTGAGGGCCCAGATCTTTGACATTTTGCTATCTGATACAACCACGCAGGAATGTGGTGTGCTGGAGGAGGTTGAGAGGGAGGCAGGGTAGGTGTCATGTAGGGAGGGCGTTAGAGCATGCTTAAGATCATTAGATGAATTAGTAATGGACAAGGCTAACCTGAATCTGTCCTTCTCTTGTGTAGTCTAAGGTTGGGCAAAGTGAGGGATAGTCCAGCATGAGTCTCTTTTGTTTTCAGGTTACTGTGCTGTTCCCCTGAATCCTATTCTAAAACAAGTACTCGTCTTCCAATTCCTTAGTAAGATTGAATGTTGTATCTCTGCATTTCAGAAGGCTTCTTTTCATGGGGGCCGACATATTAAGTTTCAAAAGTAGTTGCGATGAAGGAGCAATTTCCAGACTGGAAGCAAAAGGACACGCAGGGTTTGAAGAGCAGAGGTTTTGGTGCAGTCACCTCTGGCACTTGGATTCCTTCTCTACTGTCCCCGACAAGCCTATGTCGACCACCTTCCCTGAGCAGGCATCTCCAGGGCAGCCTGGCCCTGCCCTGTTACACAGATTCCATTGTTAGGATTGCATCACAGTCATTAGACTTTCGTGGACCTATGCTATTTGTTCTTTATTTTAAATCTAAATTTGCTTTACTATGCTCATTTCTACTTGGTGGTTGTTTTTAGCTCATCATTTAAAATTGTAGAGTGTCACTGTAAATAGTCTCATAAAAAAAATTTCCCACCAAGTTAAGGTTGGACAGCACCTATGCCTGATGTAGATAAACTGAACTGTGCTGGGTATTGAGCAGCCCAGAGAAGTCCTTGTGCTTGGCCTGGGCCTTGGCCTTGAGCCTGGCGTGCTTGCTGTGTCCTGTGGTGTGTTTGCTCTATCTGTGGACCGAGGAGGAGAGAGCGAGCCCTGGAAGGCAGTTTTTCAGGGCCTGCTGTGCCTGAGGAGAGGGTGTGTGTCAGTGGGGTAGAGAGAAGGCAGATTAGGGAGAACAGGAGGGGTCCCTGCTCCCGTGGATGCTGAGCATGTGCACAGCTTCCCTCCCTTCTGGAGCCAGTTGTGGGAGCAGGTACACCCTGCTTCTCTGCTCAACTCCTCAAAACCACTTCATTCAGTTCAAGAGAGAGGGAGATCTTTGCCAAGTTTTTCCAGATAGGGAAGGGTCACTTTCCGTGAGAGGAAATCAGCTGCCCCTAGAATTGAATGGTCCTGTGTCTGTCCTTTCTCCTCTCCAGTGTAAGAACACAGTGCATGTTCAGACAGCTGCCCCGAAGCCCATCGTGCAGGAGCTGGGAATCTAGATGAGGAGAGCTGCATGGTCTTTGGCTGTCAGCAGTAGAGGAAACACGGTGATGCTCCTTTCGCGGTGTGCAAACCTGGAATGAGAGTTCCATGTGCTTTCTGTAGAGTGCAGGACTCGCAGAAAATGGGGCCTGGGCGGGGAGGAGCTAAGTGTGGGCTGCAGGGGTTTGGGGTTGTGTTCAGGGTAGGCAGAAAGGTTAATGGCACACCATCCCATAGAGAGGCATTTTAACTACCTTCCTGACAAATCATGGTCAGCCCCTTCACTCAAAGGCTGCCCACGTGGCCCTGGACAATTTGGATTTTGCCTGTCAGGGCCCGTTCTGTTATTGTTTGGGACGGCGGTGCACTTGACCATTTGCCAGGCGCCAGCGCCCACTGTGTTCTCTGCCCTGCATGGTGCAGACCCTCTGCCTGGCACATCTCCCCCTGGGTGTCGAGCCCCAAGTATCGGATTTTTCTCCCATGTGGCATCTGCACTTGCCTCCTTCACCTTTGGCTTGTTGGTTTTGGCTCAGCGTCGTGTCCTGTGAAGGTCACTTTAAGTCTTGTTTGTTGTTCCATCTCTGAGGTGTCTTCGGATCTGAGTCGTGCCCTTGCCTGGGGCACTGAGCCCCCTAAGGACCACCTCTGCCTTTGGGTGCAGGGGTGGATAGTGGCTCCCTCCTGTCATGACCCTAAGCTGTTGTGACATTTTCCTTCCTATTGACAGAGGTAACATGAAAGACTGCCATTTAACTGATCTTCCAACAAAAAACATTTATCAAAAGTATGAAGAAAGCTGCTCATTTCCAGATTTCTAGTTTGTAACCTTTCTGAGAGTCTGAGAGCTTCAGATCATTTCTATAAATTGTTTTGGTGCCTGTTTGGTGTCTGTCTGGTATCTGTTTGGTGCCTGGGGTCTTTGTCTGGGCCTTGGAGGTGTGAAGATTAAGCCTTCAGGAGTCACCATGCCCAGCCATCTCACTGTGTCTTTTCTCATCTTGTGTTTTAGGATTTCTGGTTTGTAGACCATCTTTTTGTTTTTCTTTTTCTAAAATACAGCATTATTTTATATATCAACATTTTAATAATTTGCTGATTATTTCATAGTGGATGGATTAAGTAAATGCCATTAATAAGTAAATCCCATTAATTAATCCCATTAATTAAGTTATATCCCATTTAATATGGAGAAATATTTGCAATGTTAAAGGGAAAAAGCAGGTTATAAAAGAAGATGTGTAGTGTGAGTGTAATTACAAATTGATTGGGAGAAAATACATCAAAATGTTACAAGTGGTTCTGACTTTGTGATAGTATCATGAATTATTTTTACCTTTTTTTGTTTTTAGTATTTTCTAAATTTCCTTCAATAAATTACAATGTTACAATCAGGAAAAAGCTTAATTTTTTAAAAGTTCATACTCTTTGATCTGCTAATTTCTGTTCTAGTATACTATTCTAAGAAGATAATTAGAAATGTAAATAAAGGTCTTACAGACACAGATATCCATTACAGAATTACTTACAGTAGTTCAAGTAGAAAGCAACTGTCCTGTCCTTTAGGTCTGTTAGCGTCAGTCACACTTCCTACTGCAGGTGCTGGACACACATGAGAATTTCTGTTCTCTGCTTTTTTTCTAACTACCTGGCATATGTCTAAGCCCTTGGGCCACTCCCTTCTTTAATTTTCACCTGGACCTAGTTGAAATAGTCTTAACTTTCTGTTGCTGCTAGCATTTTAAAAAAACCAGTGACCTGTTCTGCATATGAGATATTTAATGGTATTTTTATAGGCTGCTACAGCTGATGTGGCTTCTTTCTTGGTGAGTTTCTTTCTTGTCACAAATGAGCTCATTGGAGAGTCCTACATGTTGCTCTCACTTTATCAGTTTCTTTATTTATATCTGCAGTTGCATGGTTAGGATTTGTTTCTTTCTAAGCTGTACGCCCTTTGGTGATTTCAGCCTTGTGATGGTGCCTCCCTAACATGTGCAGGTGTTTGTTGGTTTGGGTCTGGCTCACCTCCCTCTACTTTAATGTCTTCTGAGGTGACATGGCCGCTTTCCCCCTGCCCGATGCTTCCTCCTCCTCGGTCAGAATTCAGTCACAGCAACACCTTCCCGGTGACTTCCTCTGTCTCCTGAGAGCTACGATCCAGGAAGGTGTTTCTATGTCAGCAGAGAGTAAGGCTGTGCTTGGGACCTGGCCACTAGTGCCTTGCGGGTGTCACGCAGCCAGGACAACCTGAGGGCCCCAGGTTTGCGCGCACTTCCCTGTGGCTCTCACTGTGGGCTTCCCTGCAGGCCTGCTTCCTCTTTACACGTGGTCGGGCTTTTCATACCTGTAGGGATCACGGAGCTATCCCAGCCGTGCTCCAGTGTGCCTGGCTCCCCGTACCTCCCCCCAGCTTCAATCTCGTGACAGATGCTGTGAGATTGAGATAGAGCTGCAGAAGCTTGGGAAGGATGTGACTTGCCCAGGTTGGACAAGGGCCAGTGCCTGCTGTGCCCACCCCTATCTGGCTTCCTTGTTTTTTTTGCCTGCAGTGTACTGGACCCCCTTCCTCCACAGGCATCTTCTGATGTCACATCTTCATCCTCCACTGAACCAGCTTTGTAGTCTGAGGCTGTAAGTTCGCCCTGAAGCCAGGCTGCACCATTGGGAATGCCTCCTGCCAGAGCCCAGCACCATAAGCCCTGCTTCTTGTCCCCTCTTCAGTCCTGCAGGTCCTGGAGATGTATTTCTGGTTGTGCTACCAGAGGTCAGCGACTTGGTTATGTCCTGCCCCTGGTGACTGACAGAGCCCGGGTGGCCTCCTTGTCTGGCTAGGGCAGAGCAGGGTGAGGATGAGGAGCATCTGTAGGGAGGGTGGCCTCACGAGACAGGACATTTGGGATCCCCTACGGCTCCTGTCTGGGAGTCATCTTCACCATTCCCGAGAAGCCAGAGTTGAGTGCATCTTCTAGAAGGCTGGGCAGCATCCTGAGGGGTGATACCTGCTGTTGTTCTGTTTTTCTGTCTTCCCTTCCCATGAAAGTTGCCTGATCTCTCTTTTCAGGGGTCTTTTGGTTTGTCTCCTCACCCTGATGGAAGAATTGACCTCAGCTCCTGTCCTTTGACAGGGGTCTCTGGGACAACTTATTTAGTGGGTGACACCCCCTCCTCCCCAACATGAGTGCCCTGTGGGTGGCAGGAAAGTCCTCCTCATCTTTCCCGATAGGTTCTGTAGTTGGTAGCCTCAATTCCACCCATAAGGTCCCTCCCTCAGGCTTCACATTGGCAGCTGTCCTTTTAAAGTCTTGTATTTTTGTGGCTTTTTATTTAGTACCAAGTATTGCTTCCTGCACCTGCCCAGATAATATATGATATTAGAAGAAAGGAAGTAAAAAACACCAAATGTTTCCCCATTAAGAAAATAACTTTTGTTAACACTTTGGTACACTTTCTTCTAGTATTTTTCTAATTATAGTCAAGTATCACTTAACAATGGGGATGCATTTTGAGAAGTGTGTCGTTAGGTGATTTCATGTTGTGCAAAAATCAAATCTAGATGGTAGAGCCTACTACATACTTAGGCTGTATGGTGTAGCCTGTTGCTCCCAGGCTACAAACCTGTATCTCATGTTACTGTACTGAATACTGTAGGCAATTGTAACACAATGGGAAGTATTTGTGTATCTAAACATAGAAAAGATACAGTAAAAATCAGTATTATTATCTTATGGGACTACTGTCTGTATGTAGTCCCTCTTTGAGTGAAACATTGTTATGTGGCACATGATATATGCCTGTATTGGGTAGTTAAGAATACTATGTGTTTCTGTTTTGGGCTTTTTTCACTTAACCTTACAGCACAAACATGTAGAAAATCCTTCACACATGTGATTGAGCTTCTCTGAATGTTTTTGTACCTGAGTCTTTGCACTTCTCGCTGGGTTCTTGAGTGGATCAGGCCCCTTGACACATATCACAAACTGCTTTCCACATGGCCCTGCCATCTACCCTCCTGCTGCAGCCCAGGACTCTCTCAAGCCCTGAGCAATTTTTATTGAAATGTTTTTTGCTACTTTTATAAGTGACGAGTTGTGTCCCTTCACTTTTTACGTTTTGAAGTTATTTAGTGCATATGTGTGTGTGTCATTCCTCTTGTTCTTCCTGTTGGTTGGCTTTTTCACCTTTTTGAAATCCTTGATTCTCAACTAGTTTTCCAAGGTGTGAGCTCCCCTGTTACCAAGACAGAAAGGTGTGGCTTGGGCCTTGCTTAGGTGTCCGCTCTTGTTAAGAAACACCCCAGCCCTCAGACTGCAGAAATGTCAAGTTCCTCCCTTCTTTTTATTTTTAATTTAATTAAAAAAAAAAAGAACCAGATTTTAATCTTAGCCACTAGACTACCAAGGAAATGTTCCTCTCTTCTAAACTTATCCCTTTTTCTTCACTTTTAGCATTTTATCCTAGACATTAAGAAGAAGGTAAATTTTAAACATCTGGTTTCTGATACTTGGTTTAAAAGGAAGAATCATTTCCTCCAGAACTGGTTAAGACCTGGTAGCTGGAAGGAGCTCGGAGGCTGTGGGGTGGGCTCCTTTGTGAGGATTCCCCCGGGTGGCTGTGTCCATCCTGCTCCTCCTACGTGGGTGCCTCTTGGACTCGTTGTGTCTTTCTGCTAATGAGACCTGGTACAGTGTTGATTTTTCACCTGTTCTCTACCATCCACCTGCGTGGGTCTTGTGGGACCCTGTGGCCTGTGTGTCTCTGAAGCCCTCTGCCTGGCACTCCAGGGACTACCCACCTCAGCCAGCCCAGCCTGGTTGGGCCCCTCACATGGAGGAGCTGGCACTGGATGTACAGGGTAGGCGAGCCACGTATGTCTGAGCATTGGTATTGATTAAAATTGTCCTTTAAAGCTGATACTTCACTTCCCCTGGGCGTAGGTTGGTGGGTTTCTGGTGACAGTTTTTGGATGGCAAATGGGTGGGTGGAGAAAGCATAGTTTCCCTTGAAATGGACATATCACTACATTCAGTCTTTCTCAGTTGGTCGAGGTTCTAGGTCCCTAATGGGAAGGAAAGGCAGGAGATTTCCTGTGGGTGACAGTAGGGAGGCCGAGCCACTGTCCATGGAGGTGGTGGCTAAGCCACTGTGATGGACATGAGAGGGTAGGGCTGGGAGGGCAGAGCTGCCCAGGCCTAGCAAGGTCTGTGCCCACACCCTCTGTTGGGGGCAGCTCTCCAGCCAGCGCCCCCAACCCCTGATGGGCGACTCAGCAGCAGCAAGGAGACTAACACTTGGAAAGACGTGGAGCCTCGCTAGGGCCCAGGCCCTCTTTGCAGCTCTGACCTCTGGGGTCAAGGCCTTGATCTCAGGCTTGTCTACAGGCCGAGGCTCGGCCGGCCAGCGAGGCAGGACCTGGTTCTCTGAGACCTGATCTGTCCTCATACAGTCTCACTTTCCTCATTCTATAAACTGGGACTCGAGTCGCCCACCTTGGAGGGAGAGATGAGTGGAGATGATGAAACTTAGTGTAGCCTGGGGCCTGACATGCCGGTGCTCAGCACCTGCTGGTTATTGTTATTACCTGCAATAATAATTATTATTATTGATCTTAATAAATGCTAATGGGAACAGTGATGTTATTTATTATTGGCAACAAGGAGTGAGGACTAAGCTCTGCAGTTACTTTGACTCTGATGTCTTTTTCTCTTGGGACCCACATACGATTTTTCTTTGCATAGTGCCCTGTACAATTTGGTTTTTAAAAATTTTCTTCTGGATAGACCAGACAGTGGCTTTCTGAATTAACTAATACTTGATATTAATGGTTTTTTTATGTGTAATAATCGAAGGAAATCTGTAATTTCCATTTGTAAATAAAAAGCAAAGTCCAGTTTTTCCTGCCTTTACTAGGAACACAGTGACAGGGAACGTTAGAAATCTGAGAATGTATTAGTAGGGAACGCTGCCAGGTGAGGGGGTTCCTGTGTTCCTATAGTTGGTTGGGGGACGGAGCAAGAGCTTGTTCCATGGCAGCGTGGGTTGGTCTGTACTGATCAGGGATTTAGTATGTTTTCTCATTGCGCTTATTTCATTTTTTTTCAAACATCATGACAGAAATCATTGTGCTTATTTCAAACATGACCAGACTTCCTCTGGTAAACTAATTAATTTCCCTCAATCGCACCTACACGTTGTTGGTAGCGAGTTGCTGACAGCCCGCCAGCTGTCAGAGGAGAGGGGTACTGTATTCCGTACCTCACTGTTGGAGGAGCTGGTTGGCCACACTCTTGAGCAGAACAGCACCATCAGGTCCAGATGAGGAGTGGATGTACTTTTAGGAGGGTAAGTTTCTGGGAAATTGTTTAGAATTAGGATTTCTGCAGATCAGCTTTTGTCTTTCCTTGAATGTTGATGGAATTATAGTTCTATTAAAATGGTCCTTGCCCAGTTGATTCCCATGAACGACTGTCGATGCCCACCTTGGACTTGGGGAGGGGACAGCAGCAGCATGCTTGGCAATGACCATGGCTTCTGCAAGTCTGGGCTTGGGGCTCAAGGAGGGGACAGCTATCCAGCAGATGAGCAGTGAACCAGGTGCATAGCACTGACTGGGAATGGGAACTCAGTAAGAGGGGGCCAGGGACCAGCAGGCCCATACTGGAACAACAGGGTTTTAAGAGGAGTAGTGTGCATTGTCTGAGGGGGCCGTGTGGAGTTGGCAGAGGAGACTTATTTGGTTTCTGTAGGGCCTTTGTTGCTCCTTAGGCATCCTTTGGTCTAGCACATTCTAAGCCCTCTCCATTGTGTCCTGCTTCCTCTCACCCCTGCCGAGGTTCTGTCCTGTGGCCCCATGGCTCCTGACGGCATCTGACCTCCCACCCTTGCAAGGGATGGAGCCCCTCCCACGTACATTCTCCTTCCCACATATGATTTGTTATTACAATGTATTTTTTTGACCATTAAAAAATTAGGATATTCAAAATAAGCAGAAATTTAAAAATTATTGTAATTGTTGCTACCTGGAGATATTGTTAAACTTGTGCTGAACGTCTTTTTAGACTTTTTCGTATAAACAGATCATATTCTTTAACTTGAAGTGTAACATGCCTACAGAAAAGTGTTCAGATAACAAGAGTATAGCTTAATTCTCACAATGTAAGTGGACCCACAATCCCAAGACCAGTCTCTTTTAGAACCTTCCTCGGGGACTGTCCCTGCATGTCCTGGGACGGGCACAAGGGCTCAGTCTTACCTGTTTTGGACTTTATGTAAATGGAGTTATGCCCATACATATATGTGTGTGTGTGTGTGTGTGTGTGTGTGTGTGTGTGTGTGTGTGTATTTTGTCTTTTTATGAAAATGGGCTCATTCTATAAGCCCTATTATTCTGTAACCTTTTTCATTCAGCAATATATGATGACTGCACATCTGTGTCTGTAAATAATGATCTTCCTTATTTTCTCGTAAATGACTGCATGGTATTCCATGGTTTGAAATGTGTCCTGCTGTATTTAACCATCTCACTATTTATTGGACATTTGGGTTGTTTCCATTTTGTTTGAAATTTAAACTGTGCTTTCATATAAAGTAGCTATAGTCTTTTATGCTTCCTTAATTATTTCCTTAACATAAATTCCTAGGAGTGGCCCGGTGGGTCAAAGGCTGCAGATTTTCCTGGTTGCGCTGCCGCCCAGCGCGCCTCGATGTGGGCCAGCCTTGGCCTCACCTCCCCTGAGGCTTCCGAGCCTCCTCGCTGTGGGCTTTGTCTGCTGAGGGTGGGACTCCCCAAGCTGTCCCAGCTCCTTCTCCATGGCCACAGACCCCTGTGCCCGAGCTTGGGCCAGTACTAATCAGACTTTGTTTTGTCTTCCAATAGCGCTGTGTTGTGCTGCGTTTTCTGAAGTTTCCTCCAAATAGGAAGAAGGTAAGATTGGTGGGTTTGCCACCTGGTCATCACAACATTTATTTAAGAAAACTTAGATTTTTTCTTTCCTGATGCAGAAGTATCAATGCTAATTGTAGAAATTTAAATATGACACAAGCATTTAGTGCAGAAAGTAGTGTGTCCATCATCCCTGGTGTAAAACCTGTGGGGCCTCAGCACTTTGGCCCATGGTGTCACTGTGTGTCACTGTGGCAGGTCCATTTAGCACTGAGCCAGGAGCCACCCTGGCCCAGCATGCAGGTCCTGTTCTGAGGGCCCCACTTATGGAGAGGACCCCAGGACCGGGTCTCAGCTTTGCCTTGCCAAATCACCTACTGCCTCAGTTTCCTCATCTGTGCAGTTGTATCTGTGAAAATAGCATCTGCAATGTGATAGACAATCTGTGTTAGAAGTTGCAGTGGGCGAGGTCAGATGACTCATTAGGTTTCTATTCACCAAGTCATCCAAGCAAGTACTGTGGACTACCGGGTTATGGCTTTCTATATGAATCTCCCTTGGTCACAGAGGCAGATACCTAGTCGTGGAGGGTTCCTGTGTCCACAGCTCTTCTCTTCTCCCCACTTCATGTGTGCATATCCTGTGAGGGGGCACACGTGGCCAAGTTGGGCGTGCCCCTGGGAGGGTGGCTGCCTTGCAGTGTGGGGCAGGCGGATCAAGTTTGAGGTGGCTGTGCCGGGGGACGACAGGAGCTGGGCTTGGGATGAGGATATGGGATTGATAAGTCACTGTCTTTCGAGGTGTGTGAGGGTCAAGGTGAGAGAAAGGAAAGGGGACATTTGCTGGGGAACAGTGGCAGGTGGCGATGGAAGGCCACCCTGATGGTGCACGTGGGCACAGCACAGGGTTTGTTTCACAGAGAGGGGGAAGGGGGCCCTGGGACAGAGCTGGGTGCTGCTGTTGGGTGGGGCCGTGGCAAGTGTGGGGATGGAGCAGGCAGGCAAAGGAAGACAGAGGGCCCAGCATCCCGAGGTTCCTGCCTCAGCTGTGGAGGAGACATGGGCATGGGTGGCTGTTTCTGGGGAATGCGTCCCGTGGAAACAGTGTCCCTGTGGCTGCCTCCAGCCTCTTCTGTCCCCTTCTTTCCCCCATTCAGTGACCACAGAGCCCAGTCCACACTGGGCTCAGATTCCCAGAGGCCTGGCATCTGTGGAACTCCTGCTAGGTGCTCCTGTGTGGACTGATGGGGCTATCTGCCCAGGCAGCAGCTTGCTCTATTTTTCCTCTATATGGCAGAATGTGACACACTACGTTATCAGTGGAGACATGTGTGATCATTCTTTTGTTGTGTGGGGGGTATTTTTGTCAGAAGCTGTGACCACAGTTGTACTGGGCCACTGGGTGTGTTCTGGGGTTTTCTGTTGGGCTTAGTTCTGACCAGATCCTGTTGCATGAGCCACAGGACATTTGCACATGCTGCAGCTGTGCAGGGCAAAGCTGGATGCAGGTGGTGAATTTGCCAGGGCTATGAAGCATGGGGTGGCTCCTCAGTCTTAGGACCTTCCTGAGTGTGAGTCAGGTGCTGGGCACCTCCAGGCCTTCCCTGGATGAGACCCCATGAACGCAGGCAGACCCACAGGGCACAGTGACACCCCACCAGTCCAGCCTTTTTGGACATCTCTTCTCACGTTTGGGACAGTTTGAGGGACATGGGAGTGATTTCCTGTCTCACCCAGTTTCACCAGCTTTTTGACTCTTCAGGAACCGCTGACTGGGGAGAGAATATTTTATGCTACATTTAGAGGCTAAAGAGTAAAATCTAAACACCTGATAACTTTTGGATGTGAGATCCCTCAGAAGGTGCATGTGGGGCCGTGGGAGGAGGAGGGTAGGCAAGAGCGTGGGCCTCAGACTGTGACCCGCCAAAGTCACGTGGCATCTGGGAGGGCAGCAGAAGAGGGACCTTCCTCTGAGTCCCAGGCGGGCTCTGCTGGGAGATCCTGCAACTGTGGCTGTCCTGTTCTTGTCTCTTACAGACCTCAGAAGAGATATTTCAGCACCTGCAGAACATAGTGGATTTTGGCAAAAATGTCATGAAAGAATTTTTGGGGGAGAACTATGTTCATTGTGGGGTAAGTGATTTTTATTCATGTTGTCTGAATTCATGGCCCCGTTTTGTATTAACAATACCAACTTCCTGGTGATCTCTTGGACTTTGTGCTTAATGATAACCCTGGTACACTTAGAGTCTCCAAGTGCTTTTCTCCTTCGCTGCAACAGAGCAGATACTGCAATTTCCCTTTACTAGCTTGGAAGCATGAGGTTCAGAGAGTGCACGTGAGCTGCCACCCCTTCCCCACCCCCACCAGACCCCGTCTCCGCCCAGCCCTCCTGGAGGCCCCTGCTTGGTGAGGGCTCTCCCATAGCATCCAGCAACACTGAGCTTGAGGGATGGCTTTGCTCTCTGCCCTCAGGGCCACCTTTGAATGAGTACTGGCCGCCTGGGGCTGCTTACCACACCCAGGGAGGGTCCCAGCTGCTCAGCTGGATTTTAGAAGCTGGGGTTTAGAAGAAAAGCTGTGCGAAGCCCTTGGCGTTGCTGTCTGCGCCGGGTTCTGCTGCTTCTTGGTCCCGGTCTGTGGGAGGACTGGGGCGCCAGCGCAGGCCCATCTGTTGCCTGGGTTGTTCTCTGAGCAGATCCGCAGTCTTGAGGCCTGGACAGGCCTCTCGGTCCTGCTTGGCTGCTGAGGATGCAAGATTCGCTTCTGGCCGGTTTTCGGCACTGTTGTGTTGTGGTGTTTGTGAGGTCACAGTTTCCTTTTAGGAGGATTCATTCAGTTCTTATACAGGGCATGTCCCTTGGACGGTGTCTGTGCCGATGGCAGTTTCCCCTTAAGGAAAGACCATTCTTGGAGGTGCGATCTGCTGGAAATGCTGCCACCTGTCAGCCTTGGCTCGTCTTGTCCGAGTGGGAGTATCTCTGGTCTTGTAGGTTTTAGACCTCTCTCTGGGAGGGAGGGCTCGGTGGCCATGGTAGATGTGGGAATCCCAGTGGTGGTGGCCCAGTGGGGAGGGTGGGGACAGGATCAGGAGTGTCTTCAGCAGCGAGCACTGTGGTTCTGGCTTTGGCTCTGTTTTATCCTCAGCTCGAAGGGTCACAGTAAATGAACCCACAGTGAACAGGGCTCAGCGCACAGGGTCATCTATTAGCCTATCTTCTCTACATCAAGACACCTGTCAGAGTGAAACAGCTTGCTTTTGCTCCAGGTGAACATGCCCTAATAGGACAGTCGCTGGACTCTGGTGTGATGGGAAAGTGGGCACAGAGCACATTGCCGGTGGATTTGTGCCCATCTGGGTGGCCACATTGGCAGGGCCATGCAAGACCATGTGAGAGAAGAACAGATGTGTCAGCGAGTTAGGCAGAGCAGAGTGTGTCCATCCTGTTCGTCCTGGGACAAGACACAACCAGCCTCCTTGATGAGATCTCAAGACAGAGACAGCACAGACATACCCTGGCTCCCCGCCCTGGCTAGTGGGTGTGAGGTCGGTCTGGGCCCATCTGCACAGGAGCTGGAGACAGGGAGTGGGGTAGAGGCTGCTCTTCTCGTTCCTCCAGATGTTGCTTCTTAAGTACTGGAGGAGCCTGAAAGTTTAGAAGGTCCACCTCGCTTCTGTGGACCAAATCTTCCTGTTACCGACCACCACTGGGGGCCAGCCTCCACTCCCTGTTTGAACTTCACATGCTGACGCGTTGGCTGGGCCGGGCACTCGAGGGGTGAGGGGACAGCCAGGCTGGCGGCTGTTTGTCCTTCTGAGCAGCCATCCCTTCATCCCTTTGAGGGCAATGCCACGCCTGCCTCCCTCAGCTCGGCGCTCAGGTTACAGCGCCGGGAGGGGAGTTCTGTGGGCTTTACCTCTGGTTCTTTTTAAGTGAATGCTTTGTGCAGGAGCTGGTTGTCACTGTCCTTGCCTGGTCTGGCAGATGGTATCGTCCGCTCTCAGCAACATCAGCCTTTTAAGAGGATGGCTACTGTAAGCATTTTATTTTGACTTAAAACACAGATCTACTCATAAAATCAGTAATTTAAAGTTGTCTGGAAGAAACTTAGGTCTTTACACCTGGGTGCCTGTGGACTCAGGCTGGGGCTGTGGGCAGACAGCAGTGCGGAGGTCCGTCGCTGTGTGTGGACCCGAGACCCCTGTGGCCCTGTGTCTCCAGCCATGTGTGCCATGGGGTGGGGGCCAAGGCATTTCTAGAGTGAGGAGCTCAACGTAGTTCCTGGTGATCGTTCTCACACACGTGGTGTCTGTGCCTTTCGTACTTTTGCTTTCTTTGAAATGAAGCAAGAACTTGGACTTTTGGGGGATGATCTATGTTTTGGACTTTTGAATTTTTACATTTCCTACTCTTTTGTTTGTTTGACTTCACCTAATTCAGTACTAAGTTTTTTAGTAAGTCACCTTTCATTATTTATAGCATGTTTAGGTAAATGACAAAATCACAAGTGACAGTGGTGCAGCAGGCTGGGAGCAGACCATTGACTGGAGCGGGCTGGGTGGCGGAAGGGCGTGGGTGTGGCGGGGAAGGCGTGGTTTCTCCACGGGCAGCGTCCCAGCATTCTTGTTCTAGCAGGTCTCCTCTGCTCTGTCCCTTTGGGACTTTTTCAAAAGTTACAATTCTGCCACCTTGGAAATATAAGAGGACAGGGAAGATGATGAGCAACAGGGCTTAAATAAAAACCCTTTCATTTGGGAAGTTGCAAAGAAAAGCCAAGTGGAGGGACTCGCTGGGTGTTGGCCACACTGAGTCCTCCGTGGCTGAGGCACAGACTGTCTCACTGAGATTAATGGTTTGATCAGACGCTGAGTGGGAACTCGAGGCCTTCTTGTTGTCTGAGGAGTCAGCGAGGATCTTCCATGTGGTCTGAGAACTGCCTCAGGCCCCTGCTCTGTGTCTACAGACGCTGCAAGGACCAGAAGGGGCCGTGGAAGGGGTGCTCTGTGGTGGGAGACATTGGCTGTGAGGCTGGTCACCACGACTGTGGACCCGGATGCTGTGAGGAGAGCCATCTGCCCTGAACGCATTGAAATGTTGGCATCTTTGTTTAGCCTGGACGTGTTCTGAGAATAATAGAGGAGCTTTTATTCCCAAAACCCACATGTGGAATTTTTTTTAGCTGTAAACTTTTTGTTTATTGTGATAAAATACATATAAAATTTACCATTTTAACCATTTTTAGGTGTACAGTTCTGTGGCAATAAGTGTGTCTGCATCATAGTGCAACCTGCCTTGAGTATTTCATGTTTTTTCTTACAGGAAGTTGTTCAGCTGCCTTTAGAGTTTGTGAAACAGCTTTGTTTAAAGATACAGTCCGAAAGACCAGGTAAGGGTGCTTTAATTTAGGAATGTTGTTTATGATTTAAAATATTCCATTTGAGAAGTATTCGAAATGATCACCTGTGTTAGGCACATGTAGTTTTCAGCAATTCTGTTGCTGGAAATTTCATTATGTGGAAATCCTGGGAGTGTGTGGGTATACTTCTGTGCATCAGAAAACCAGAGCATTGCATGGAATATGTGACACTAAGAGCTAATTAATAAAAGACCATAAAACAGGAGGCGGGAGGAGAGGGAGGTGAAGGAGCTGGGGAGACCCAGGGAAGGGGAGGGTCCTGGGGGGCCTAGAAGAAAGTCAAAAGGAAACCGAGGTGACATGAGCCTCAGGAGGGAGGGCCTGCCCAGGAGGGGCTGCAGGCTGGGAGCTGCCCCCAGCCAGAGTCCAGGCCAGGTGCTTGTCCTCCTGGGGAAGAGGGAATCAAGGGGATTCCGTGGTCGTTACCCCCACTCCTACCTTTCCCACACTTGCTGGTGGCCTTGTGGGCAGGAACCATGTCGAAGCTTTTTTCCACAGTTAGTGATCAAAGAGGTAAAGTTCAGTCAGTGTTGAGGGTGGAAATGTGCTCTGTTCCTAGAGCACAGCGAGGCAATGAGGGTGTGGAATTGGCCACTGCAATTTTTTCCTGATTCGATTTGGAAACGATTTTTTCCTGATTTGAAAGCAAACGATTCTCTGTGCCTGGAGTCTCTGGCTGGGGCAGGGAGGTACAGGCTGCATGCTGGGAAAGGTCGGGGAGGTGGGAAACCGCAGGACAGCAATTCGGCTGGGTTCCTCATCTCCCGCAGGGCAGACAGGCCGGCCAGGGTGCTGCCTCCAGCTGCTCAGCCGCTCAACTTCCCCCTGGCGTTTTATAACAGCAGTCGAAGGTTTACCACTTCACAGTAATGAGAACCATGCTGCCCTTCCTTATAATGACCGGGAATAAGGCTCATATGTAAAAGGAGGGAAGCCCATCCCGGGTGCCTGGAGCCCAGGCTCTGTCCACACTGGTTTCCGGCGGAGTCGATGCTGCAGACATATTGATGCCCCGGGGGTCGGGAAGGGCCAACTCTGGTAAGAGCATAGAGGCTGCAGTCTCCTTGCTCTCCCAGTTCCTGGGCTAAGGGAGTCATGGAATTAGGGGACCATCCCTAAGACCACCCTCACTTTTGACAATTGCACATTTGAGGGTTCCTAAGACCACTCTCAGGGTTGGTAATTTGCTAGAAGGACCCACAGAACTTACTGTTTTACTCATGGATATGGTTTATACCAGGAAAAGGATAAAGATGGAACCAGCCAAGGAGAGAGGCACAGGGGAGGGGTCCAAGAGAGACCTGGCACAGGCTCCTGGGTGTCCTCTCCCTGGGGCTGTGTGGGCAGCACTTAATCTCCCAACAATGATGTGTGACAGCACATGTGGGATGTTGCCCATCAGGAAACTCACCGAGCCTCAGTGTCCAGTGTTTTTATTGGGGCTCAGACACATAGACACAGCTGACTGCCCATGTGGTCCAAAGGACCCCCCATGAACCGCTCTGCTACTGTGTGTCCTCGAGTCCCCAGGTAAACACAAGGCTCTCGTCAGGCTCAGAGATGACTCCCAGAAGCCAGGGACAAGGTGGGATCTGTCTTGGGCAGGGCTCTTCTTGCCTCTCATACTGATGCTCGAATGTGACCCTTGCTCTGTTTTCCAGAGTCTCGCTGTGACAAGGACCTGGATACTCTCAGTGGTTATGCTATGTGCCTTCCCAATTTAACCAGACTTCAGACCTACCGCTTTGCAGAGCACTGGCCGATTCTGTGTGTAGAGATTAAGGTGATCTTTTGTTGAGGGGGAAGTGATGTGGGTAAAAGGGGAAAGGTCGGTCCTGGGTTGTAAGTCTGAGAGTCACCTGCCCCTGTACGTGTTCCCACAGAAACGTGTCCTTTGGGCCCTGTGGCCCCTTCTCAGTCTAGGCACCCTTGGCTCCTGGAGCCCCGCTTGCTTCCCTTCCTTCCAGAGCTGTCCCTGCATGCCAATGCTCTGGTTCCTCCCACAGACTCCCACACCCCAGGTTTAGGCTCATTCCTGGGAGCTGATGACAGGGGAGCCTGTCCTGCATGCCAGGGCTGGGACAGTCCCTGGTCGAGGGCTGCCAGAGGGAAGTGCGTTGGGCCCCACCCCCAGCCCTGTTGTCCTCAGAGAGTGCAGCTGGCCAGGGTCCCGGCCTTCCTTTGCGCCTCTCCGGCTGCGCCCCCTTGGTGCTTGGCTGCTGTTCGCTGTGTTGCAGGAGCCCTGTGTGTGGGTTGCCCTGTAGACTGGGGGTCTCTCCTTATCCTGCTCAGAAGGGATTTCCCTGGAGGCATAAAGGCCAGTGTGACCCCCAGAGGTGCCGAAGTCCTGAATTTCTTGCCTGGTGCAGGGCAGTGGTGGCCGGATAAGGCCAGTGGTGGCTGGATAAGGCCCCCTTGCTTTAGCTCTCTTCTGCCCACGTCGGGAGTGGCTGCTGGGGCCCCTCAGGAAGCTACCCCACATGTCCTGGCCGTTACCTGTCTCCTTCCTCCAAACCTCTTGGGCAGTGACTTTGGGTCATGCCTTTGGCCTGAACACTTGTGCCTCGTGATCCTTGCATGTGGGTGGGTGTTCTGCTTCCCCAGCCACATTCTCAGCACTGAGGCTGAGCGCTGGTCTTGCTTATTGTGTGTGCTGAGAGGCAGCAGCTGGGGTTCCCTGCCATTCTGGGAGCCTAGCAACTATCAGATGGGCCCCGGCCAGGCCACACGCTGGTGTCAGCGGGAACAATGGTTCTGTTTCTTGGAGCCGTGAGCCCTGGGCCCATCTCCACTCCTCAGAATCTTCTAGTCACATTCTTTAATGGAAGCACAAAGCTGCTCTGTGTTGTGCTTGTGTCAAGCCAGCACAGAGGCACCACCGATCTGCCCCAGTGAGAGTCTGGCCGTGGATGCTGTAGAGGCAGAGATGCTTGTATGATGTGATGAGGGAAGCAGTGTTCCCACTGGGAGCTGAAAATGAAAACAGCTTCTGGGACCTGTACACCTGACACTCGCTGTACTTCCTTATCTCGTTGTTAGTGATATGTCTATTTAAAGGTACGTGATTTCTTCCTAAGCATTTTTTCCTCTTTGTTTTACAGCCAAAATGTGGGTTTATTCCTTTCTCGAGTGACGTCACACATGAGATGAAGCATAAGGTCTGTCGTTACTGCATGCACCAGCACCTCAAGGTGAGAAGATGGACGTGTGGGCTCTGCTGCTCTGCGTAGGGGACAGGGGCGTCATTGCAGCTCACTGCAACCTCAAATTCCTGGGCTCACGCAATCCTCCTGTCTCAGCTTCCCTAGCAGCTGGGACACAGGCGTGTGCCACCATGCCTGGCTAACCTTTTTAATTTTTTTGTAGAGACAGGGTCCCTCTGTTGCCCAGGCTGGTCTCGAACTCCTGGCCTGAAGCAATCCTCCCACCTTGGCCTCCCAGAGTGCTAGGATGACAGGCGTGGGCCACTGCCTGGCCCTCCAGAAATTTTTATTCCCTCAAAAAAGAAACTCTGTCCCTATTAGCAGTCACTTTCCACTTTCCCCTCCTGCTAGCTCCTGGCAACCAACAATCTATTTTCTCTCTGTGGATTTCCCTGTTCTGGGCATTTCATATAAATGGAATCATATAATGTGTAGCCTTTGTGATTCTTTCACTTTGCATAATGTTTTGAGGTTCATCCATGTTGTGTCATGTGTCAGCACTTCATTCCTTTTATGGTTGAATAATATTCCATTGTGTGAAGGGAGCACATTTTGTTTATCCATTCATTTATTGAGTGGAATTCCAGCATGCCCACTTTTTGGCTATTGTGAATAGCACTGCTGTGAACATTGATATACCTATACTTGTTTGAGTCCTCAGTTTCATTTCTCTTGAGTAGATTCCTGGGAGTAGAATTGCTGAGTCTTAAGGTAATCCTACGTTTAACTTTTGGAGGAACCACCAGACTGTTTTGCGTAGCAGCTGGACCATTTTACATTCCTATCAGCAATGTGCAAAGGTTCCAATTTCTCAGTATCCTTGCCAGCGTTTCTTATTGTCCATTTTTGTAGTTCCAGGCATCCTAATGGTTGTGGGGTAGTGTCTCATTATGGTTCTTTTGCTCATTTTAAAATTGAGTTCTTGTTGTTGTTGAGTTGTAGGAGTTTATATATTCCAGTGTATTTTGGAATCAGGAAGTGTCATGTTTCCAGCTTTTCTTCTTTTTCAATTTATTTTGGCTGTTTGGGGCCCCTTACAATTACATAGGAATTTGAGGATCAGTTTTTCATTTCTGCAAAAAAAGGCTGTTGGAATTTTGACAGATTATGTGACTCTAGATCACTTGGGAAGTATTGCCATCTTAACAATATTCATGAACATAGGATACTTTTCCATTTATTTAGTCTTCTTCAGTTTCTTCAGCCATGCAGTTTTCAGTGTACAAGTCTTTCAGTACTTTGGTTAAGTTTATTTCTAGGTATTTTATTCTTTTGGAATATTATAAATGTCATTGTAAATGGAATTGCTTCCTTAATTTCCTTTTCAGATTGTTTATTGCTGGTGTATAGAAATGACTGATTTTTGTGCGTTGATCTTATACCCTGCAACTTTGCTTGGTTTTTTAAATTCTAGTAGCATTCGTGTGGATTATTTGGATTATTCTGTATATAGGATCAAACCGTTTATGAATACAGAGTTTCACTTTTTCGTTTACAATTTGGATGACTTTAGCTTGTCAGTTTCTACAAAGAAATTAGTTAAGATTTTGATAGGGATTCCACTGAATCTGTAGATGAATTTGGAAAGTATTGCCACCTTAAGTTGTGCACACAGGATGTCTTTGTGTTTATTTAAGTCTTTAATTTTTTTCAATGATGTTTTATAGTTTTCTGTGAATAAGTCTTATACTTCTTTTGTTAAATTTATTCCTAAGTATTTTATTTTTTTGGATATTATTGTCAATGGAAATTTTTTTATTTCACTTTCAGATTAAACATTGGTAATATATAAAATACAATTGATTTTTTTTTTTTTTTTTTGAGACAGGGTCTCACT